GAGGGAGAATTATAATGGCGATCCAGACAATGTATTCTGGTAATAATAAGTGCTTTGAGGTGAGAACGTTTCATTAGCACAAAAGTCACGAAACCATTCCCAAAAAAATGCTTTTAAACTCTTAATCAACTATAAAGAGAATAATTCTAAACGGAAATTTGACTATGTTTGTTTTGAAAAGCAGCAGCCGTCCGAAAGTGTTCCACCAGATGCATTAATAAGACCAAAATGCGAGCTGCAACTAAAGAAACACACAAGGATGACTCTCAAAATAAATGAAAACTTAATTAATGATATCTGTTTAATTTAGATCAAGATTGAATCACATTTTGTCGGTTGCTTTTGATGCAGTAATTAATCAGAAGTAATGCCTGGAAGTTAAACCGAACTGATGAGTGACGCAGAAATGTTGGCTGGATTTATGCTTAAGAAATTTGTAAGTTTCGGTAAATAATTTTTCTGAAGGAAAAATACAAGAATCTACAGCCATTTCCAAAGAAAAACTTGGTTGCTCTGAACCTTTTGCACAATTGGCTCAGCACAGTTTTCAATGGAAACAAAAACCAAACTAGAATAAATGGATTTACCTGGAAATATTTATCGAAAATGTAAGAGAATTTAATATCCGGGTTTCCTTATGCAAGCCTCGAGATAAAAATTATCTAATCAGCTACAAAACAGTCATATTTACTAGGTTAATTACTAAATCCCACACAAATGTGGTAAAAGTGCGATTTCGCTTAGCTGCCGGTGACTCACGGTTCCCATCATTTGATACTGATTAAATTGTGGTTGTCTCATGATTAGAGGAGAATAATTCATACTGTAACGAATGTTCGTTGGAATTAACACAAATTTAAAAAGACGAATGTTTGTTCATTTCAGTGACAAATTTTACTAGAACTTTCCTTATGAGATGGTGATGATGAATAACGTGACAAACATTAATTAATTATTGCTGCTGCTAATCAACCAAGGATTATTCATCGGCATTAACGTCGGAACCAGAAGAATATATTACTTATTGACATACCTATTTATATTACCGCATACTTATTTATATGATAAAGGTGTTGATATGTATTTCCTTAGTATATAAATTCCTAATAGTCGATGATCGAATAACCAAGTTCAGGGAAATGAACGAAAAATGTACACTTTCAAATAAACAGTTGTGAAGCGAGAATTTAATTGCAATTGTGCAATTGTGCAATTAATTGCAATTAAAATATCTTACTAACGTATTCCTGAGAAGAATAAAGCAATAAAAAATGAAAGCAATTAAAAAACTCAATACCTTAAGTTGATAAAAAAAATTCTACACAATTCATAATCCACCAAACTGAGAGATTTTCCGCGGATTTTGTGCCTCACAGTCAATCTAAAGAGAGGATCAACTTTCAGAGCTGAATATACAAATCGTAGGTATATTTCACAAATTTTTAAAGGAAAAATTGTTAAATGCCAGATTTTTTTAATTTTTAACCAGCTTTACATTACATTAAGTATTCAAGCTCCACACCACATCATTCAAGTACGACCCCCCTTCAATTCCGAATTCAATCGAATAGCTTTTCTATACATCCACAATCGATTCCCGTATGTGAAATTTCGGTCAACACAAAGATAACATTTCAAATCGTCGCTCTGGATAGATCGGCATTATGCTCATCTCAAAGTTGAAATAAAACCGACTCATTTCAGTTGATAAATGCGCGTAAATGACGGTTTTATCTCTACCATTGTAAATCATCCCCGAATTTGCGGAGTTTGTAATGCAATTATCAGTTGTCTCCCTCGCTATGAAGGAAGATAATCCAAATGCCTTTAGGAAACTGAAATATACATCAGTTTGTTGGTTGATAATGGAACACCAAATTCCTTCAGCTACGCAGGTGAGGAACTGTTAGAAAAAGTATATTTTCCGTTAAGATCTCAGCCTAATAAAGATTTAACGAAGCTGAAGCTGAAACTCCCGCTTTTCCGCTTCAGTGGCTGGTAGTCGCACATGTAAAATCCTGAATTTAATCATAGAAAACGCTGACATTGTCCATTCAATTTGCATGGCGAAAGACATTTCCATTAAACCCGTTGCTATTCTCTTATCGTGGGAAGCAAATGTGTTCGGTAAATCATTGAGGAGTTTGCAAAAAGACAATTTATATGCATACATGCTATTATTTAACGTCGTTTAATTCTCTTCAAGGGGAAATATTGCAAAATAAGCTATGGAGCGTGCAACATTCATTCCATGCAAGCTGCAAAAAAACTGCAGCCAAAAAACTAACGTTGGAAGTAAAATACGAAGCTTTTCGTCTAGATTTTTAGAAAGTTTGATAAAATAAATCTAGGTATTGGAAGGAAGTAACACACTTTTTTGGTTTATTCTCGTCTTGGCTTCAAGCTCTTTCTAACTCGAAATGACTTTCAACTCTGAAATGTTAAATGGAAAGGCGTATCGAATGATAAGCCGTTTCATACAAAGTTGCATTGTCCTTTTAGGTACAACCAGTTTTTTTAATTTTGATGGCCAGTTTTCGAGGAATAACGCTAAAAGGCCCGCAATGGCAGCAAGTATGTAAAACCGTATTTAAACGTTGAAAATTCAAACAGTTACTTAAAATGTGTACAGAATATATTAGGTCGAATTTTATGGCATTTTTACTGTAACCAACGCTCGTTGCCCGACTGGAAGTTCAGGATCCATAATAATTTCAGTTGGTATATTAAAAAGCAATAAATATATAAAAAATAAGACAAGATTCCAGAAGGAAAAACATCGAGTTTACGTCTTTGCACACCTAGTTTTCACATGATAATCAGTAGTTGATTAGATGTTTCTTCAGTTATTTAAGGCGAAAACAATTTAAAAAATGTTTGGAAAGATAGCAAGTGTAATAAAGTTTGTAGTCAGTAAAGTAAGTGCTCTAAGCTCTAAGTACACAATCATTATTCAATTACGCAAAATTATATTCTATTGGTACAAAAAACAACAATCCAACAAAATTTTATGGGAAAGTAAGGAAGCAAATAAAATATTTATAAATGTTCGACTAAAATTCTCGTCAAAATTAGTTCTAGTAGATTTAAGACTTTACACACAAAACGAAAAAATGCAATAATATAAGGGAATAATAAATTATATTTTATTTATTTTTTGCTGCTTTGCACTACATTTGCAAATTAATTGGCTCTTGCAGCTTTTAAACTGCTTTTGGAATTCTTATTGCCAGTTTTAGCTGACAGCAATGATTATTAATAGAGAATTTAATTCGCATTATGCTATGAAGATATAGATTATGTAATTTTTAGGCCAACTTTTACGAAAAGCGCAAAAATCAGCATCGTGTGCGATTTAAATGGAGTTTGAGAGTCGTCTGGTTTAGATTGTACAAATTTCATGCCGATACTTGCGCGATTTAATTAAAATTTGTAGGAGTTTTAGACTCACATGCCTTCTATAGACGATAAAAATTTCCAGTTGCCATTTGCTCTGGATTAGAAGATTTTTTATTCGGGAGCTTGCGATGCGTGAAAAGTCCATTATTTGACTAAAATTTGCCCAAGAGGTAAAAATTAGCATCTGATGCAATTTAAGTAAAATTTTTATGAGGTTTAGCTTCACCGTGTATTCGCTATAGACAGAAAAAATTGCAACAACAAGCGCAATAAATAAATAATATTAATTGACAAATTCAAGAAGGGAAAACATCGAATGTGAATGAACTGTGAACACATAAGAACATCTACTTTCACATTTTTCGTTATTAAATGACAAAAGTAATTTAAAAATTAATGAAAATAGTAGTAATAGAACGAAAGTAAGAACAATAAATTTCCCTGAGGCAACGAAATCTGTGCTTCTAAAAAATAACACTTGTAATACTTAAAGTAAATCCCTTAAGGAAACAATCATTATTAAATTACGCAAAATTGGTTGTTAAGCGCCTAATTATTATTCTACTGACCTTCAGTTTTAAGTTCAAGTTAAAAATGAAGTTTTAGACAACTTAGCGTAAAAGTATGGAAAGTAAGAAAGCGAAAAGTTTGAGATGAAATCTCAATACTTAAAACAATTGGAATAAAAAAAGGTTTAAACTATGCAAACTGTTATTAGTTTCCGACAATTTACTAGGTACTAGTGGAGCCCTTAAGGATCTACTTAATCTGCTCAAGAGCTTCCTATTTATTTCAGATTCAAAAATGCATTAATTCATGCAGTGATGGAAAGTCGACAATAAAATAAAGTCTGGAGGAAAAAATTGTTAATATGAAAATTGCACAATTCAACAATTACAAAAAATTTGATGGATTGGTAGTTGATTTTTGACTAAAATCTTCCACTAGCGCGTTGATCAAACAGTCATCTTGGTTATCTCTATGGGTGAACTATTAGTGAAAGCAGACCATTTTCCAATATTGACATGTCGATCATCACTTCCCAATTTTGATTTGTTAAATTTCATTGTAAGATTATTTTTCTGATAATACCTATCAACAATGTTATCAAAGACTGCCTGCCATATTATCTGCCGAGTTTACTCGAGTATCTTATCGTCGATTTAGTACGTAAAGTCACATACCAAATAAAATCTAATTTTAGAATTTCTAGGGGAAAATCCTGCAAGGACATGACAAAAGAAACCTAAAAAAAGTGTTTACAAACCAGTATCTACAAATGTAAATCGGTACTTAAAATATCAATAAGAGTAGAAGCGCAAATTCCATCGCGCTCTTAATATTCAAGTATCAACAAGAAAATTCTATGCCTAGACTTTTGAATTTTGAGCAAAGTTCCAGTTGGCACTTTGTTAATATTTTAAATAAAATTCAAATGAGCGCGGCTGATGCGCGATAAAAATATGCGCTCCAGGATTTGATGATGATAATAATAATATCGAATTTGAAAAACTCCGCTCCATAACCGGTCCAAAATAGGAAGACAAAAAAGGCCGTTTTACGTCGCCGTTGACCGTTCACTGACCACAAAACTTACCCACCTTGAGTAAAGAATCCCATCGCCGTTACCAGCAGCAGCATTATGCTTTTCACCTCCATCAACTCCATCCTGTGCGTGTTTCGTCCTCGGGCAACACAAAATCACTCACAAATTCACAAATTTGATCCTTGAAAACACTTTTTCCAACTTGTTTGCGAACTTTTCCTAATCACGAAACGCGTTTCCGATACGAAAACAGGTGAACCGCGAGAAATTTTACCTGATTATCTTGTCTTGTTGCCAGCGTTCAGCCAACGACTGATTTAAAGTGCGCGCCCGTTTTCGACGGTGCGAAGAACATTCGTATACTTTCGATGCGCTTCGTCTAGAAACGACGATTTATTTATTTATCTACGAAAAATGGTGGATTTGTGTTTATTTAAAATATATTTACATATTGGCCGAAGGGCTTGTTCAGGTGCAAAACTGGAAAATCAAGTCCAGCGGGCCCAATTAAATCAACAAAGAAACAACGAGAACTCTAGTTAGAAGTTTTACTGTTAATGATATTAACGCAGGTTTTCGCTATAAATGTTTAAACTCAAACATTAGAGTTGCACATACAAGTCAAGAAATAAAAAAGTTTTCTTCTGCAATTCTAAATATTGAAAGATAGTGCAAATTTGTCCATTTTAGATAGTTAATTTGTACTATATTTTACTTGCTCCTTACTTTAAAAAATTATTAAACATCTTATCTGGTTTTATCGGTCCATTATCAATAATGTACGATTGGACGCGGACACTATCCATTCACAACGATTTTATTTTATTATACTAATTTTTTTTTTTTTTGTTTATAGTTTTATTATTTTATTTAATCATCATCCTGCTTTTGAAATCGGGGCGTCAAGCAAAAAGAAAACTAACTGTAAAAATATATAGGAATAAATACAAATTTATAGCAGATATTATGCATTTAACAAAAATATAACTATTTCAGAAAGTAGCAAACTTTAAATCTTAGAATAAAGAAATTAATAGACTTTTTTCCTTTCGTATATTTAAGTTTGCTTCAGAATAAACTAAAATCGTTTGATAAATTTGCGAATTCTAACACGTTAATATTTACTTAATTGGCTTAATATTATAACGCACAATTAATATTTTTGTCTATATTTTTTGCTCAAAATCACGTCATTTTGACACGGTTTCTTCCACGTATTTTTTTCTGTTCTTATCACGTAAAGGACTTACTTGGAAGATTTGTCTTTCGACTGTCAAAACTTTTGTAAAGCTGAACATATTTTTAAAGCCCTTTGAATTTCCTAAAAATCAAATTACTGTCGAAAATACCAAGCGAGTAACTTCATATTATTCCACAACAATTGTTTCACCAGCCATTAAGTTTTACTTTTGATTAACAAATTTTATACAGAAACTCCTTGAACATTCGTCTACTGTCGCAAATTTTCTAATACTTTTGTCATTAAAATTGTCTATTCCGAAGATAAATATTTTTTCAGTAGATCGATCAGAAAGGGCTGTTAAACGATTTTCAGTCATTGCATTTCTGAGAACCAATTGATTCGTTTCATTGTTGAGCAACAACCGATACTAATATTCGACTCAATAACGCCATTGGCGCTGGACTGAATGCAGCGAACTCTCCACCTTAATCAATACTCGGTGTTGGCAAGACAAGGGGAAAGCGGAGTGTTGCGCGGGTGTGAAAACGAGCGCGCAAAGCTGGATTCTGTGGTCCATATTAAATAATAATCCCGCTATAGTGTGAGTCGGTAGATTATTCTGCTAGTCCGTTTGCAATTATTTTTAAAAAAATAAAGTGTAAAAAAAAGGCAAAATGTGTCATTATTAGACGAAAATCTACTGATTTGACGTTTTTTATTTATTTTCTTTGTTGAAAACGCTTTCTGCTATTTACTAGGTAATAGTAAAGCCTGTCCTGAAATTCTTCACAATCATTGATCAACATTTAAAGAAAATTCCTCTAAATTGTTGAGATATTTGACTTTGCTACCATTAAGTGGAGTTTCATATCCTAAGAAAAATTCTACAGGGGTCAGTTCTGGAAATCCTGCCGGACGTTCCTGCAGCCCTTGATCTAAATCGACAACTTTTATCTATTCGTGCATACAGGGTATTTCAATAGTCGGGTATTTCAGGTTTACGGGGTGCGAAAGTTTTCATTCAAAAATCAAAAGTTACTAATATTGCCGAAACTGCTTGGAGTATTCGAATGAAACTTTACATTCTGCAAAAATTAACGACAGACGCAACATCTCTATCATAAAACATGAACATCATTAACAGCCGGGATTCAAGCAGATTTTCCTCGTAGTCAGAAACCATGCACCGAACATTTGCATGTTACCTAAGAGTTAAATAATATTTACGCAAACTTTCCATTTCAAACTGATACCACTAAACAATGCAATTAACGCACATCGTGACCATTAAATTGCAATTAAAAAGGGGTTTACCTAATTAATACATATTCATAGAGGGAATCGTCAAAGCGCCGGAACGACTCAATAACTGAAGCTCAGATTAATCTGCATGCTTTTACCTAATTGCTTTTAATTAACTTCATTCATTCGAAACAGAAACTTTCGTAATAATTTTTGGTTAGTTGCCCATCGCTGGAGATTATCGCTATTTGGGGGGGTTTGGTTCAAAAAGATTGCCGTGCTTAAAAAACTTTATGTGCGGACATAACTTCCAGTCCATAACTATGTTTAAGTACATGCATTTTCAGTCTGAAAGATGCGACGATTTTATTCGATCCAGTTCTATTTTTCCTCAATTTTTCCCATGCTGGTAATGCCGAAACAAACAAGTCGGGATGCGAAGAGCTCAACACTCAACGTGAAGTAAATTGGGTTCGTGCATTCCAGCCGCGCGTAGTTATTACTTAACCAGATCCCCGTATGGTAAAACAATCTTCACAAACAGCATTTGAATGCCTTAAGAGTTTTATTTGAGTTAAATTTGACCAATCAAATTAAATCATTAATCGTTTCTAATTTAACTAAAAGCACCAAGTTCAGTAAAGTTCATAAGCGAAAATCTTAAACAAAGACGAAATGATCAAAAATGCAAATTTGCAATAAAGTCGAGTATCGTTTTTGTTGAGAACTCTATCGCAGCGCGCATAAAACACAAAGGTGAACTTCCCGGAGAGGAAAATTGGCGAAATCTTTAATTAAAATTTTGAGGGAGTTTAGAACAAGTTTCGAATCTAATTGTGTTTCATCGCTCCATCAGTACGATGAAAACGTAATTATGGATGGAATAATTTATTTTTCAGAGGTCTTATTTTGCTGTTTTCGTTGGCATTAAATAGAATTACCCGTTTTGTTAGTTGCAAAGCAGCTTATTTCTTCTGATCAGTTCATTATTTTCGATAATTAATTGATCTCTTTTGTTCCGAAAAATTGTTTTACAACACCATTAATTTGCATTTCTCGTAGTAATTCGGGGGATTTTCTAAAATGGTACTAAATTGCTTGACAAATGTTGCTCAATTTAGCTTAAAGCGAGTGTATAGGTGAAATAGGGCGTGCTTATTAGATCGATATTTCGGAATAAGGCGGAGGTTTAAATTAGACAAATTCTTGCAAAGTATAGGTAATTAGAGATCAATCAAGAGAATAATCAGGTCTTACATCGCAATAGGCTTAAGCTTACAGGGAGGCGTTTCTCAGAAATTTCCGCCTTGGTTGCATCTTTGAAATTCGACATAATTATTCCAACTAGAGCTAGAGCTAGATACGAGCCATAGACATTAAAGTGGTTCTTGAGACCCGCATTAATTTAGAATTTTCGCATTTTGCGTGTAAACTAGAAATATTCTTAACTGTAACTTAGATAAACCGCAAAAACAATTTTTTAAATACTTTTAAATCGTTGCCAACAATACCACATAAACAGGAGAAGCAAAACATGTTTTTATTTCATAAACCTTTCTTCAAATTAATGAACGATTCAAATAAAAATAAAAGCGTACAGTATCCTGTTTCAGAAGGTTTGCAGGCAAACCACTAGATGCCAAAGGGCGAATTACTGAATGTCAACCGTCAGGCGATGGCAGATACATTTTGAAATTTCACTTTGAAAACTTAATTGAAGATACTTTTTTAAACCAGGTAGGAAGAAAGGGTCTGTTAGTGCTTTCTTACGATTCCTTTCATAATATAGTCAAACCTAAAACCCGTACGCTTCTAGTTGGCACGCTCAGAACTCAATTATGAATATGTGGGCAAAGTTCCATTGAAAGTCGGTAAGTATTAAGAGCGGTTGTTCCTTATAGCATATTCCATTATAATACAAGCGAGTTTTTTCAATTATTGTTAAGGAATAATAGAACAGATTAATTTACCAATTAATGAGCAACAAGTTGGGACATCCAGCGGCAAACCCACCAAGGTCAGGAAGCTAGAAAGATGACATAGATGTCAGAATCCAATCTCTAACCTAACTTCTAATTTCTGCACCATATATTTTGTCAACATACCACATAAACAATAGCGCTTTTCACCAGAGCTTTAGAAGCTTTTCTGCATAGCTTTGAGCGAATTTACCCATTAATTTATTATACGGAAAAATGGCAAAACAGTAAGTACACTAGAAAAATGAGTCACTAAATAGTTTCACAAAAATATAGATTTATACCATGAGTTCCTTTTATCGTTCCGGTGTCCATAGAGTATATCTTATATGTTCTTAACATTATTTATCTTGTTTTGCACAATAAATGCCCAACGCTTGCTAGCTAAGTCGTGAATTTAAAGTTTAACACATACATTCAGCATGCGCCTTATCAGCCTTTATAGCGGCACCTTATATTTGTAGATATCGCTAGAATAGCTACGTTGATTTTGTCTTATAGCTATTACAACCAATGTTTTCCAATTTTTCCAGATATGGCCTCATAATTCCCAATAAAAAGGCTGGACTGGCAGTAACTCGCCCATCTATCTTTAACGAAGACTCGGACTCTGACTCGCCAAAAGTCCTCAAACCCACTGGCGTCAGTAAAACGAAAAAGCAGGATATAATCAATCAACAGAAAGTAAGGACAAATTTTAATTAACACAATTAAACCTGCCTGTACACATATTGAATTTTACTAATCATTAATCTATTTGCTTTTATCAGGCTCTTGAAGATGATCCAACGGTATATCAATATGACGAAGTCTATGATCAGATGGAGAAGAAAAAGAAAGAATCGAAACTGGCAAGGAAAGATATAGAAAAGAAGCCTAAATATATAAGCAAACTATTAGCGGCTGCCGATAGGAGAAAGCGGGAAAATGAAAGACGGATTGAACGCCAAGTGCAAAAGGAACGAGAAGAAGAAGGTGAGCATTAAATTATTCTATTTTAAACCAACATAAAACTGCTGGATGTTATTTTATCAGGCGAGCAGTTTAATGACAAAGAATCCTTTATAACGTTGTCTTATAAGAAAAAATTGGAGGAGCTCCAAGTGTTGGAAGAGCAAGAAAAGCGCGAGGAATATTTGGAGTCCATTGGCGATGTAACTAAGCAGGGTAATTTAGATGGGTTCTATCGCCATTTGTATGATCAGAAGTTGAATTATGAAGACAAAGAGGAAGAATTGACTACCGTTAAAAAGGAGCCATTAAGCGACAACGAAAAAAGTGACCAGGAAAGAACTGCAATCAAGAGAAAATCAGGTGAGTAAACTCAACAACATTTTATCCCACATAACTGCATACATTTGATTATAGATAGTGAAACAGACAATGGCAGCCATACAAACAAATCAACGGCAAAGAAGCGCAAATACCGCACAAGAAAAGCTTCGGACAGTGACAATGAAAAATCCGACAAAGAGCAGGAAATCGTTGAAGTGAAGAAGGAACATTTGCCTTCCAATCTTGATGCAGACTCGGATTTCAGCGTGGACTCTTCAGATAGTGAGGACGAAGAAGCCAACTCGAAAACAAAAGGGCTTAAAAAAGGAACAGACGCAAATATCGAATGTGAAGGCGAAAAGTTGCAATTGCCAGCCAAAGGGAATGTTTTAAGCGACAATGCGGCATTGGCTAAAAATGAGGGCACAGATCAACCAAATGAAAACATTAAAAAAGATGAACCTGCTATAGTCAAAGATGAGAAACCTGCAAAACCAAAACAAAATATTTGGAAGAAACGTACAGTAGGAGATCTATTTGAAGAAGCTGTTAAGCGGTATTTTGAACGGAAATCCGCTAGAGGTTGGTGAGGCAGCTTTTAATGTTAATTCTTACAGTTGTTGAATCAAAGTCAAAATTGAAGTAATTATATCAAAAATGTATTTCCGCGTCTAAGGAAGCGCGATTTTAGACAATAATACAAGGAACTATACTAAATTCTAACTTTCTTCTGTTGCCTCTGCCTGTAAATGTCATTCATTGGAGGCAAATGCATGTCTTCATCGTCTGAGCCATCCATCGAAAGTCCCAACTTTTTCCTCCGTTTCACTCCAAGCCCGCCGTTCTCCTCGACTATCCAATGTACCGATTTTGCAATGTCAAATAGGCGCACATCGCCGTGTTCTGTAGGTGCTGGAACTAAAACATCGCTTTTAAAAAAAGGAATTTAAATCAGAGCCATTTCCATACCTTGATCGGGTAAATGTAGTCGAGTAAATATATCCATCATGATGTCGATGTGAACAAATGGACCCCGGAAACAGTGGGGCGGAGGCAGCAAAGTGCACAGGTGAGCAGCCGACGGTGGCATGGGGAAGGAACCACCTGAAAATATTTGTGTAAAAACACACTTCTTTGATTATTTGATATCTAGCGTTGTTTTACCAGGAATAGGATGTTCGCCTGGCAAAGGGTTTGATTTTGGTTTGTAGGGAATCATTTGAGAGTAGTCAGGTCGAGGTAATGGCATTTCTGACTGTTGGTTTATTATTGACTGCAGAAAGTGACTCTTTCCTGCAGCGCCTGTGATGTTGATAACATCAGTGTAGCTGGAAAAATTAAACGAACTTCAAAATTTGCCTCTTGCGCGGTAGATGTAAACATACCCAATACTTTTCAATTCCTGGGGCGTGCAGGGAAACAGGTCCAAAAATCTATACCTATCCACCAATTGTGCCGTTTCTTTACCTTCGAATTCTTTGATTTTTGAAAGCACTTCAGCCCGTCGGCGTTCGACTTTGACTATTGATTGGAGGTCCCCGATATTGCACTCGAACTCTAGGAATTTATTCCAAATGTCCCTAAAGCGCAAAAGATCCATCAAGAAAATACAATAAGCGATTTCGTTGAGTATTTACACAGATTTTTCGTTTTCTAGGCTCCCTGACGATAAAACGCGTTCAAATAGTACTCTGGTATTGTTGTCTTCATTCAAATGCGATAGGTAATCAATGTAGCAGGTGACATACTCGGGGATATCTCCGAATTTCTTCAGCCCCAATTCGAAAATCCTGCAAAAGAACAGGTGATTGTATGTCTGGTTTATTTCGTTGAGAGGGAAAATCTTGTTACCTGAACGCTATGTTTTTATCTTTCGAACAATAATATTCCATGATTGCAGCGCAAACGAAAATATGGTACAATGCCCGATTATCTTCTCTCGCTCGTTTGAATACTGATCTGGCTGATTTGATTCCTTCAGCCCGCCTGGCGAACTTCATGTATTGAATGTACGCCTGGAAGAAAATACTTAGCACCCAAAAACTTAATAATATTTAGAACTTACCAGGGTCGGGTCAATATCTTGAATATCTAAGTACTTGCAGTATATTTGATGAACTTTGTCATACTTCAACCGTCCTTCTTCATAGTCCGCATACGCGAAGTACAAAAGCATATTTCGACTCAGAAGTGAACTTGTGGCTCTTTCAAAAACATTAGCAGCTTCTTCGCTGAACAGTTTAGAAGCGTTTACGTCCTAAAAAGGATTTTTTTTCTACATTTCTGGTTTACTGTTGTTAGATTGTGGCAAACATACGCCTTTTTCCGTTAGAATTTTGCTGCTCAGCTCAAGAAACTGGGCTGCTTGATACCAAATATCAGGATGATGACCCAGACACAGTAGGCATTGTTCCAAAGCAAAAATCACCCTTTTCGTATGCAAGGCCGTGTCTTCGGTGCGTAATGGGTTACTTTTTTCCCACTCGATGTACTTTTGCCACAGTTCAACCTACGCGAGAATGATCCGCAATAGAAAATGTTCATATGCTTCATGAGTAACTTACTTGTTTTCGCTCCTCAGGAGTACCGTTTGGAGGTACACTTGGGGCATTCCTGTTAATGCCACGGATTTGTACTTCCAGCTCTTTGGCCACTCTTCGGGAATTCATGTAATCTCTGCTTCTCTCTATGCTCATTTTCTCCGCAATTATGGCGTTTATGTTCTGAAATGATGGATAATAATGAGCGATATTCAATAGAATTCTTCAGTTGAATGCAACGTTTGCTCAGACATACTTGCTCGAAAGAAATATAGTCCTTCCAAAAGGTTTCCATGCCAATCATCGGATTGATAATCCCTCTTTGATATACTTTTCGAACCGCACCAATTTTCTGATTTTCCGCATATGATCCCACGGCATCAACGCTTTTCAAAAAATTCACATAATCATTCCAGATGCCATAAGAATGGATGTCCATTCCAATTTTGTCCAGAGCAAAGTCGTAGGCTTGAGCCATTTTTTCTCTGAAATTAATTAACATAGTAGTGCAGGTTTTAATTAATCAATTAAATAGGCATTTTTTCCATTCAAAAATATTTGTTGTAAAGTCAATAATTATAAATAATTATCGCACATTATAATTTCCAAGACGTGTTTGTATACTTACTTATATGTGGGTAACGACGACTTGGTTTCCTTTACATAGGTCAGGTATAGTTTCCACAGTTCAATATTCAAAATCTTCATTAGGCATCTTTGAAAAAGCTATCAAAAGAGCGCATAATTTTTAGACTAGATTACATAATTTCTTTGAAAAACTGTCTTGCCATTGGTTAATCAAACATAAGTTTTCTGGCGCAAAGTAAAACTAAACTAATACGTTTTTCATATTCTTTATATTTTCGGTTGGTTTTTGGGGAAGAAATTTAGGGACCAGGAGGGAAAAAACTGTGAAATACCTTATGTTTCATTAACAAATTTGGATAATTTCAGTAAAAAAGCCAAACCTATGGGGTAATAAACCAGAAAGAATCGTTCTAATACCACGAATTTCATTACAATTTAACTATCTGAGTGAAATATACTGCTAAGTCGGAAGTGGTACTAAAATAATGCCTCCCAGTTTCTGAACACATTGAAAATATTGTAATAATACAAAATCAGATCGGTGAATATGGTTTTTATTGCCTTTAAGTAATCAAAATTATCTGAAAATAATTGTACTTTTATATTAAAATTTACCTTTTCTACTCGCTCAAAATTCCTGGCTTTGATCTGTAAAAGAAATCAAGAAATAGTAATAAATCGTTGATATGTAGCAAATTTGTTTTCTTTGCATTGAAATTCTGTACTTTAGATTGCAATGAGGTGCACGAGTATTCGACCATTGGACATTTATTCCACAGAGCACAGATATATTAAAAGCGATTAGACTTAAATTATGCACTAAGATAATAGACTAATATAAACCCTTAAATAGGGATTTTGATAAACAAGCCTATAAAAGTTACATTAGAAAGGTTAAAAGGCTGTACTGCGAGCAGCAAGCATTTCCTGAAATGAAAAACAGTAAACTTACCTCGTGTTCAATATATATTCTCCAATACCTCGAAGCACTCGGGAAAATCGTGATTAAATGCTCATAAAGTGAGCGAACCTCCGATATGTGCTTGCTTTGGGCTTCTCTGAGCAGAATAGACCATGCTTCCAGGTCGTAGCAGTTCTTCTCCACTTGCTTCTGAGTCCTAAAGAGCTTCTCGTTGCCCCAATCCTTAGCGAGCAAACATAAGACAATGGTTAATTAATTCAAGCCCCCCTTTTCAAAGAGGGGCCTCGGCCAACACTCAGTTAAGCCCTAGTATTACTAGCGCATGCAGTATTTGCTGGAAAAATGACTTACAATATGAAGGCGTTCTTCATTCATTTTGCCGGCTTTCACACCAATATCTTAAACTTGAACTCAATTAATGTGAATAATCTAATGTTTGCGAATTCCTTCGACCACATGTATGATAACAAACTTTATTAGTTTGACTAGTGACAAATGTCAACGAGCCAGAGACACCTGGTGACACCCACTGCTGGTAAAAACAGAGACAAGAAAAGTCTTCCTTGTCCCTCCCATGTCTCTAGTCTAGATTTCTCAACAGTTAAATCTTAAGAGTTGATTCTTTCTCATAGATGGCGCAAGACCTGACAGAAATTACATCCCAATTTGAAGTGAATTAAACCAAATTAAACGTCAGAATTTTGGAAAACTGTTCTTTTGGAAACTAAGTTCCAAATGAAGACAGTTTGTGACAGTGAAGCGATTTTTGGAGTAAGTTTTAATTCGTTTTGTACAACAACCTCGTTTTTTGATCAGTTTCAGCCACTTAAAATCCCATGTTTTGTTCGTATCGATATTTTGAGTAATCTTTAATGAACATTTGTTGAAGCAAAATTAGAACAGTTATAATTCGATTTTGGAATTTAAGGTTTCTCTCAATTTTCTTCATTACCCCTATTAGAAATAGGTCCGCTGCAGGGGCACAGTCTTGCAAAATCGCACACAATCACTTCCAAGTCGCAATTTTCTCGTCTCTAATGACATGTCCTGCAAGTTGCACGTGTTTATTTGGTTCGAATAACCGCCTACTAAAGCAAGCACTGGCATGCACGCACTCGGTATATTATTACTGCTGCTATCGCTCTTCGATATTACGTTATTATGATAATCGCCCTCTGCCTAAATTGCCAATATTACAGCCCCGAGCTGGTGTTGTACCCAAAAGGTAATTACACAAGCATTTTCTCTGCGTTAATTTTAATATCGAATCGTAGCTTTATTGTTTTCGCCTTCTGTTAGTTCTTTGCGATTATTTTCACAGTTGTTGGAAGGCGGTTTTTTTCTACGTTAAAAGAGTTGCGTTAACCTGATTAATCAGTTGCAAATCATCTGGCTATAATAGAAATGAGCAACCCACAATAAAAATCCAACCAAACCATTCACATACTATTTCAAATCACTTAGAAAAAGTTAACTATAGTTGAGTCCGGATATAACAAACTTGAAAAATGAACTGAAACTGGTTCGTTATATCCGGAGTTCGCTGTAAGCGAATAATAATACAAAAACACGTGGTGCATTTTATTTCGTTATTTTTACATAGAGTAGTAGAAATTAGTAGGTATGACTAAAAAGAACACAAAAAGATAAACAAAATTCAATTTGAAATCTACTTCATAAAGTCTGTAATTTTTTTTTGTACATTTCTGCTGCAAAATAGATGTTTTTTTTATCATTTCAGAAATGGTTGGAACAGCATTAGTGTCTACAGTAGAATACGTTTCACCTAAATCGTCATCTTTCTCATTATCGCTTAAAGGTGCAGATGAGGTTACGGAGTCTATAATTTGCTCATCGGTTAACATTTCTCTTGTAATAATGCCATTATCAATGCTCACATAATCGAAGAAATTGAAATCACTCAATTTGGTTTTAACTTGTTCTTCGACAACATTGGGACATCTTCGTCTGTGGCATACTCGTAGTCATTCTTTATACTTTTTTAACCATTCGTTAAGTGGAATTTCATCGTCTGGTTCATAATCATTTTCTTTTCTGACAAATCACCCATGCTTAAAGCAATTTACAATGGTTTTTCGGCTAACTTTTTGCCAAGCTCTATGAATGAAATTTACTGCATCTAAGAGATTTAGAAATTTAGATCTAGAAAATGTTTCATTTTTATCGATCGTTTCTAACGTTGTCATAAGAAGAATTTTTCACCGGCAGACTCTCCAACAATTTTCCGCTACTGATATTATGCCTCTTCTTGAAACGCTCTTCCCAACTTTTATAACAAACAAACTCTTTGTTTTTGATTTTACTCCCCATTTCACTAGCATTTTCTTGCAAAACACTGCCCCTTATGGGAACGTTTTCTTGTCTTTTTTGAGTAAACCACTTAAAAAGTCCCTTGTCAACCTTTCCATGTGCAGATAATTTTAACTTCCTACATCTAACATTTGTTTTGTCATACGCTGATAAAATGTTTTCTCTGTTTTTCCATATTGTTGCAACAGTAGACTTTCCAAGTGCTAATTCCTTACAAATGCCACTCTGCTTTACTCCACTTTTTATTTTGTTAATAATCTCGTACTTTTCACTGCCTGTCTCTAGCTCTCACTAATATAAACAACTCCGCACGATTCGTGTTGCTGAGCGTGGAAGTACGTTATAAACGGAAAGTTAATATACAACTAACCTAAAAAGTGATCGTTATATGCGGAAGTTCGTTATCACCAGTAAAAAAACGTTGGTTTTTATGGACGACGTTTCAATTAACGGAAAAAAGTTCGTTTTAACCGAAAGTTCACTATAACCGGGTTCATTATAAGCGGACTTTTCTGTATTCTAAAGTCATGACAAAAGAAACTGAGGAGTTGGTTTAATGCGACAGTGGGCCTTTCTGGGGCTGCTGCTGATACAGAACACAATTCCATTATTAACGCCAAAATTCGCAAGAACGAAAATCAGCTTTTGCATGCAAGGAGAAGCGACTAATGATTTATTGGCCTATTCAACTAGACTGTCAGCTTTTTCGCCTGTTATTTCTACCAACAAAAGATGATCGGAAAATAATAAAGAACAACACGAAACAAGTGTATTGTGCGTCCAAAACAAGGACACTTCGGATTTGAACCATGAACATGAACATGAAACATGAAGCAACAAATAAAGAATGAATAGAGCGGGAACATATAGACACTCTTGTCCCTGTGTGGTCAAAGGGACTTTTTACCGTTAACTTAAAAAAAGAAAGACCCTGACATATTGTCGACTGCGAGTGCTGTCGTATTCAGTGAAACTCTTAGGAAGTCAGTTGCGACCTTTAAAAACGGTAAATGTGGTGTTAAATTCGTTACAGATGATATTGCTAGGACCGAAAGTGCAGTACGAGTGAAACAGTGATTCTTGAGTGTTTTGTTGCAAAGCTTGATAGTCATGGACATAATTGAAACGCATCTTGGTATTAAAAACGCCGTAATTTCTGACTTAATTTTTTTTTGTTCATGTTTGGCCGATACTAAAGAAAAAAATCCCGATACCGCGGATCGGGCCAATCGGCTGGTAAATGGTAACAAAACGCCGGCTACGCCTCCTCCAGGTTGATAGTAAAAGTTAATTTCCGCCGGACTTGTGATCGTTTAGATATGAGGACAGAGGCGTGTAAACAAGTATCTGGAAAATTTCTTGTTCCAGTGTTTACAGCGCATAGGACTCTGCCTGGGTAACACTGTGTTGAGTTTCGCTATTGAGTTGTTGCCGCTCTATGAGTCAACGAGTTATATCTCAGTCGTTAAATAAAGCTGTACTACATCCGAGACTAGAATTTTCACATCTTTAAAAGGGTTATTAATATTTTGTCTTAATAATGTTTTACTTCTTTCTTCAAACAACTAAAAAAAATATTTTACAGCAACAGAACTGAGTCCAAAGAAAGTCGACGAGATTTCTTGTAAAATCAATCTCTTCATTTTTTCAAAAGATTCAGTTTGCGAGTATTTTACAGTAAAACGTTAGGAAAAACGCGGTTTTTCTGTATAGAGACAGTGCTGTTTAGAAATATTGACCTGATGATTATAAACTTTCGCGTTTTCAGTTCGAGGAAATATTTTTTGAAAAAGGACTAGAAATAATTATTAGGGTTTTGTCCATAATTCGAAGCTGCAAAAAGTTTTCCAAACACTTTTGCGAGCGAAGCGACAAAAAACGGTTAAGGAGGCGAGTGTTCCAATAAAATTTATCTTATAATGTATCACAGAAAATATCTGAAGATTGCCAGTGTTTTAAGTAAAGCTAAAAAATAATGCGATTTTTGCGTAGAAAGAATTGCTTAATAGAAACTTTGCTAAAACTGGAATTACTTGAAAATTTAAAGAAATTTTAGAAATCCTCAGAGCGATGAGGGCGGAGAATTTTTCCAATAAATTTTTGTAAGCTTTCGCTTTACGTACTTACTTACTAAATTATTTTTATAATTTTTCGCTGAAAACACCCCATTATTGTCAAAAAACAAGAAAATTATCAGAAAATAATGCTTTTTGCGCTTTCGATTTAAAACTTTTAGTTTTGTGATCGGTTCTGGGGAAAACCTTAATAGTTTTCGGGAAAAAACGGTATGAATTTATTTTCCTTTTTGGCCCGAATTCGACACTGAAAAAAGTTTTTGTAAATTTTTTACAAAGCTATACATTTATCTTTTAGAAAGTCGCCATTTTTGCATGTTGCATTTTTGTCATTTAGTCGCGTAAAAGTCCTCCAGATCATCAGTATTTTTAACTAAAACTCTAGAAAATAGAGCGCTTTCGAGTAGAAAGTAAAACAAAAAAAAATCAGTTAAAACTAAACAACTACGTTTTTTTAACAAATTCTGCAGTCTTCAGATGAATGGAGGTAACGATATTTCCAAATATGTAGTCTGTTATAAATTTTCGCTTATTCTGTTCCTTTTTTGATAAAAAATTGTTTCATTTTTGCTCCAAATTCGAAGCTGGAAAGGGATTGCAAAACTTTTTACAAAGCGACGAAGGATTCGAAAATGTTTTCATAATTTTTCGTGGAAAATACCTTAAGATTGTCAGTGTTTTTAAGTGAAACTTTAGAAAATTGAGCATTTAGAAGAAAAAGTAACTTGGCCAAAAATGGAAAATTCTGAAATTTGAAAACATTTTAAATATATTATTGATAAATGGCCTTTAAAACAAATCTAAAAAAAGTTCGAAAAAAAGTCAGTCAAAAAAGAAAATCAACATTTTCGCAGCAACGGAACTGAGTTACTGCGCCGATGCGTCCAAGCTATTTGCGCAGCACTGCGCCAATTCCTAAAAATTCACTGAGTTACCCAGGCCTCCATGGCACCTTGAATATTTGAGATTGTATACCAAAAATCTGCGGAAAACTGTGTAGCTTGAGCTTAGGAAAAAATACTTTTTTTAAGGTCATTCAGAAGAAGAATAAGGTTAAAGGTGTAAGAAGACGAAAATTTATCTTACACCACCATACTCTTCCCTCTGACTTAAATAGTCTATCTCTGAATGTTTCTACCGCCACACTTTTTTGTATCATCCATAATACCTGATTCTCCTCTAAGAAAACTGTGTCATCCACATAGGATTAAAAACCAATGCTTCCAAACTCAAGGATTAGTCTAATGTTCAACCAAAGTGTTTTACATTATAGCGTTTTTTGTCTAAACTTGTACGTTGATTGAGTGCGCCTCTGGTTAATTCTGTAGAGCTTCTATTATCTAGAGCCGGTGAATGAATGTTCAA